TTTTTTTTTGTAAATAACTAATCTGTTTTCAAAAGCTGATCTAGTTTTTTAGAGGCGGTTCACGAGTCACGGGTTATCCTTAGTTCGAGCGCAAAATCCAGTTAGCCCAGGCGCATATTGAGCTGTGCGGCACGGTCCGGGCAGTGCAGCACAGCACAGGGCAGAATTGGGCAACAAGTCTGTGTTGCACAGTTGACATCGCATATTGGGAAGCAGTGTCGTACAGTTCTCGTATAGGAGTGACACAGTTTCTTGTGTGAACATGTTGTTAAATTTAGGATTTCAGTTCTAAGTCAGATTCAGGTGCTGATCTAGATTTATTGTTACTTCTTCACCAGAGAACAAGAAAGAAAGGACGAAAAAAATTGCAATGTATAGTGATTTTCAATATGTATAGTGCAATGTATACTTACTATGACTGGTAACGTAAAAACTGGATAAAAACGCACAATTTCTATTAATTATCCTCTAGATCCGTCACAAAACACTAGTCAACCCGGCGCAGGTGAGCAATGCGGCACAGACACTTGTGACTCGACCACAAGTGCGCGCAGTCCACGTGCGGGACTGCACTGCCCTGCGCTGCGCTGCGCCATAATATGCGCGTGTCCTAGCAAATACATGGTTTACAAAACACTGCCCTGCGCTGCACTACGCTGCGCTGCTCCGACTGCGTCTCAATATGCGCCGGGCCTTATAGCCGGTTTTTTGCGCCGCGGCTTGGAAATCGGCTTCACGAGTACGAGGTTACCCGCGCTCGAGCGCAGACAGAAAAACTTCACCCAATTATGACAGGGATAAACCCGAGCGCAAAAAGTCGGCTTCACGGGTTCAATTAGAGAAAACCCCGGGCCAAATGTCGGGTTCACGAGTCATAGTCTAGCGCAAACTGGATAATCTCGAGCGTAAATAACAATGGTTTTGGTCTTCAACTTAACCCTGCTAGGGGGCAGGGTTAAGGTGACATCATGTCGGGATTATCTCATTTGCTCGTTTATTGTTTTTTTGTTAGCAAAAAGAATGTTATATTCGGATTCGGCATTAAATTCCGAACAATTTCATTACCCTCAACATGATATTTATTTTTTTAATTTTTTTACTACTGATAGCCGAAAACATGCAAAACATCGTAAAAAGTAACTGTTGAGGCATTTTGATTAATTATTACTAAGTAAAAATTTAACTAATAGCTTAACATATTCATATTAATTTAAATTGCAATCGAATCTTATTTTGTAAATTCTTTATATTTATTTCAACAATTTTGAATCCTTTTATTTCAGCTGAATAATATCAAAATAAAAATGGTTCCATCAAACACTTTTAGGTTTGTCTAAGATTTTTTATTGTATAAAATTAGTTCAATTTTTGTTCCGCCGTAAAATTCATATAAAACATAGGTCATTTTATTTAAGTATCCAAATTTTATTTCGTATGTTTTAAATTATATGGGCTGTTTATATTATTATGTTTATGATTTAAGATTTGTTAAAGAAAGACCTTTTCATCTGATAATGTCTTAATATTTGTCATATCAGGATTTACAATAAATTGCTTCAATTTGCTGAGGTAAGATAAATTATATAGTTAAATATACAAAACGTTGTATTACAACAAAATATTTTTTTTTTAATTATAACCTGTTTTCTCATGCTTAGGGCTGCGCTCTGCCCGTCTGGCACGCGCAAATGTTCAGGGGCTTAGTTCTTTGGCCTGTGCTGTTTGTAGCCCCAATTGTGAACCGATTTAAAAGATCTTGGTGTCATAAAATGTTATTGTAGGTTTGCCATTTTATATTTACTTTTATTACTGTATACATATGAAGGCATCTCTGCTCCTATAATAGCCAGTTGTTGCTAGACATTTATTTTTTATACAAATTACTGATACATAAAAGATATTCATAAATCTTTGAAAAGAGCAGTCATTTTATTAAATAATTTGAACGTTTGGATACAACTGCAAACCTGATAAAGTATGTCTTATTTTTTAACATAATTGGTTATCGAATTTTATTGCAAACATTACCAAGATTTGTATAAACTTTTTTAAAAACATAATTGCATTTTCCCGATTCAATGTATTCAGTAAAAGTGTATTATTCATAATTCAATGATAAATTGAGTAACCTTAAACTTTAGTATATAATGAATTCAAGTGCAAGTCCACAACCTTTTATACGATATCAGTAAATACTCTGTTTAATTATAATAATTTATGAACCAATCATTGCGTCATTGTCATCCTCTTGTTTTGGGGCTCGTCGACCGCGAGCAGCGGCGCGGCAGGTGGCTGTTGCCAACCTCCCAACTAAAATTCCCAGTTAATCCCTGCTCTTGATCGACGGCCAGCGTTGGTCTCGGCTAAGCTTGATCTCGGCTAACGCTCTATGTCGTGAACCCATTTTTTGACCGTCGGTTAAAATTGGTCGAGATCAACGATAACCGCGGGCCACGAAACCCCGTACTCGTGAACCGCCTCTTAGTGTTTTCTACAAATGTTTCCCACTCATAGCCGTATTAGGTTGTCTATAATAATGATATTAAATGAAGAAAAAAACATTATACTGTATTTCTTCTACTTGGTTGTGTTCTATGACTTTCCTTTGTTTTCATTGTTTGCAAATCGGTTCTTTCAATGATTGCTCAAGAAATGTAGCACAGTGTTTATTCAGTTTTATTTTTAGTATATTAAATTGTCCAGGATTTCTCGCTTTATTCCATTGCAATAATTACACCAACCCAAGTATCATCTACAGATGCAATACGCCAAAGAATATCGTCTACGTTCAACACGCCTACGTACAATCTCCAAGAAGTGGTAAAAAAAGTCAGAAACCAACCCATAAAATAGATATAAGTTAACTCTATAAGAAATAATTTAAGAGTTACTGTGATATTAGGATTTTACACTGATTTGGTAATAGAACATATTGCAAAACATGACACGATGCAGAAGAAAATCGATTTTAAAATCAGAAAAAAACCATTGCAAATACTTCATTTTGACAAATTCAGTAAATCACAATTTAGGCTAAATATTAACAGCTGTTTCATTAAAAAGTAGTGCAAAATTATGCATATGGTCGTAATGTAAACAAATCTGCCTAGGGAACTTTAAAGGCCTCTGGGGTAGAGCTCCGAGGAAATTTACCTCGTTTCTCTTTTGATAGCTCATCTACAGGCCAAGTCCTTTCTTTAGACACCCCTGCCAAGTTTCTACGCTCAGCCGTTCTCTCAAATTAGCTATGACAAAACCCCGTTCTTTCCTCCATACGAATAACATGTGATGGGAATTTTAAAGGCCACTGGGGCAGAGGCCCAAGGGAATTTACCACATTTCTCTTTTGACGGCTTTTCTACAGACCAAGACCTTTCTTTAGACACCTCTACCGAGTTTCTACACCCAGCCGTTCTCTCAAATTAGCTGTGACAAAGAAAAACAGTTTCAAATTAATATATAGATTATGTCAGTTAAAAATAAAGTTCCCTATGGGAAAGGGTTTTATTTTGGGTGGGAGTTTGTATCTGAACTAAAACATTTTTACCATTAAAATCTGCTTAAAAAGACAAATAAATTCAAATTCAATTTATTTTCTCAAATTACAGTTTGATATACAACAACTACACAGAATTTTGGTTTTCAACAAAATTAACCTATGTACATACCTTAATAATATACCTTTCTTGTATACAGTAAATGAAACATTTTATATGCATATATAGGCCTAACATAGATATTATATTCTGTGTAACCAATTTTAACAAAATCCAGAACATTTAATAACTCTATAATACTTATTAAAATGAAATTATTTAAACTGTAACAGAGAAAATATTGGGCCTCTAAGGCAAATGCCTGATTAGAGGTTCCTTTAATCTCTATCAAGAAATATGTTGTCAGCATTCCAGATAACAAAATCAAACTAAATATATACCGTCTTTTAGATTGTGTTAGTTTTTGAAAATACAGCACAACCACTGGAAAACTTAATTTTGTCGAATTACATACGCACAATCAAAAATTAGAATCATTTATGAAATCTTTTTGGATAAAAACTAACATAATGACTATACATAACTAATATATACGGGCAACTATAGTAGGAAAGTAAACTATAATTCATATTTTACTGTTCACAGTAGTAAAACAAAAATGAAAACCCACAACAATCGATAATTATTACAATTACAAAAGAACAAAAATTCAATTTAACTACTTTTGAATACCAAACATAAAATGAGTAACAATTTTTTTAGTTGAATGTAGATACCTTTTTGGAGTTTATTCTTTTGATATTTCCTGGCAATTTATTACATGCGATGAGCTATACAATTGTCAGTCTTTGTATAAAAAGTATTGTTAGGTTTTGGTACTCTATAATTTTCAACATTTCTTAGCTTCTACTTTACAAATTAGTATCTTCTAGAAGGTTACTTGAACCATAAAACATTTTTAAAACTTTAAATTAAAAGATTTTTTTCAATGGCCAAATATGGTACCATTACATTTTTATTCTACGCATAATGGTCAGTAAGATATTGAAAGTGGTAAAGCAGTTTTCTCCCTATGTTATGAGTATTGAGGATGAATTAATTGCTGAAGGTAATAATATCCTCAAAACTTTTTTTCCTTGAAAACTTTTCATTGGAATTGGAATTTTCATTGAAATTAAATTTTTTTTAACTCTTAATTACAAGATTCAAGATTAAAGATTTCTATTTGTCATAAGGTACGGTACATACAATGATGCATTTGACATTGTCAGATATGAAAACTAAAGTTTATTTAAGGATTTAACCAATGTAATTAAGGATGGATCTATAAGTAACTAAAACTTACCTTCTTTTTATAGAAATATGCTTAGTCTCCAGATTTGTATCTCAAAGTGTTGGTGTGAAATTTAAGTTCTTTCTCTTTTTCTGAGTAAGAAACCAAATTGTACCCTAAAGCCTTTTTCTCGCTAGTTTTCATAGTATCCATGTTTATGGTTTGTGCAGGGCCAGAGTATGAGAAGCAGCCATTCTTGATGACGGAGCCTGTCAGACTCACCCCAGCCTGGGAGGAGACAAATCTGCCCAATGATGAGCTCAACTTCAAGGAGGTTACCATGGAGCAGGCTCAGCTTGAGATGAACCCACCGTACGACAGGTATGACTCCCCCAACCTTACATTTTAATTTCACACTGCCTCATAAATGGGTTACACCTTACCAAAAAATTATCAACTTCTATACCCACCATTTCAAGAATGAAATAATTTAAAACATACTTAGAAAGTTTGAAAAAATTATACAAAATGTATACAATGGAGTTTTAACCAAGCAAATAGGGAGTTTTCAAAATAAGAGTGTCTGTGAATGGGTGATTTAGCATGTTAAGGTTTCTGGTATTATTACTTTGAGTGGGTATAAATTCATCAATAAGGGTATTATAATCTAATAATACTCTTTTTGTGCTTTACACAAATTTATATTCAGTTATGTGTTTGTGTTATTAAAACAAAAAACGCTATTAAACTGCTACTAAACGCTGTTATTAAAATAAAAATTGAAAGGGAACATTTTGTTTTACCATTCAAATCAGCTTAAGCACAGTAAATTAGCAGTTTTGTTAGACTTTCATTGTGCACCAATTGGTTACAGATATATTTAAAGTACTAAACTCAGTAAGATACATTGTCTCCTATCCACCCCATAAAGGAAAAAGATTAATTAATTGTTGTAGATTGCTGTATAATGAATTTATCTTTATATAATTTAGCTCCTAATTTATTTAGAAAGTTTATTTAGCTCCTAAAACTTTACGGTACTTTCCTGTTAAAGGGAACATTCATTATTATCGATCTGATTTCTTTCGATATATCGATATTTTTGTTTTCCTTTACGATCCATACCTTCTGTTTTAATATCTTCAAACACATTTATATTACAAACTGACAACTGATCTTGTTTAGGCAAAACATAAATAAGTAAAACTGTTCTAAACTAACCTAACATAACCAACCAAACTTGCTGGGTTTGCTGTATCATTTCAAAATTTTGTTTGCGTTTGATAACAGAAAAGGCATTTGAGTAATATGAAACGGAATTTGGAAATTTTATAGCAAGTTTGGTTGGTTAGGTAAGGTTAGTTTAGAACATTTTCATTTCAATATAATATTGTTTGTATTTAATATTGTAAAAATTGTTTGTTGATACTGAACAATATTTACTTATCGTAGTTGTCAGCTGACATCTCGTTCATTATCGGATCAAAAATAGAATATCGATGTATCGGAAAGAAATCATTGATAATAATGAATGTTCCCTTTAACAGGAAAGTACCAACTTTACTCCTACAGGGGCTTTGCACTTCATACGAAAGAGAAATTTGTCGTATTTCTCTTAGCAGCAAACCTATGTCTTCACGAGCTAATAGTATTTAACCTGGGCATGGATGTAATTGTAAATCTTCTATTGTTATCAACCTGGTTGAAAAATACTCAGACTTGGTTTAATTTGGCTTAGCCTGCAGTTAGGCTGTGCCGAGTGTATTTTATAAGTGAAATAAATTTTGTTAATAAAAAAATATTAGAATTGACAGAATTTACTGCATATTAGGTTAAGTTTAACTTATGCTGTATATTTTACTAATTAATCATTTTTCAAGTATCATTAATTAATCTTAACTAATTAACTTAGGTAACTATTTAATCTTGTAGAACAGTAACTATATTTAACTATTGAATGAAACCAATTCAACCAACAAACTCAGTAAGCAAAGTATTTTTTTAGTGTATGATCAATGGTAATTTGTCTCTGATCTGAGGGTTTTGTTACAGACTGAAGCTTGTGTACCTGACACTACTGTTGCATGGCATTGGCACGCTGATGCCCTGGAATATGTTCATTACTGCCAAAGATGTGAGTGTTATTGTAGGCTACTTAATTACCTCAGTAGTACCTTCATTGACCAGGGCCAGTAACATGATCAAAATACTTATATTCTTGCGACACGGAAGTAGACTAATATTTAATTACCTTCAGTCTCCAGTTCAAAGTAAGTCGATTAATGCGACCTATGTTTCAGCACGACATTGTGCTATCATCAGGCTTCCAGTGGAAAACCATTGGACGTCGTTTAGTAAAAACTATATACAGTTCACAAGACACAAACACATACACATTTACCGATCGGTATTTACAAGGGGAGAACGAGTACATTTTGTCAAATCACCTGACATCAACGACCTTACTAATACAAAGCACTGTGGCAAACAATAAACCGAGAAAGGGAAGCGAGATCAAATACTGAAAACCAAATCCATCTTCAAGTCAACAATAAAACAATAGACGACCCAATAGAAGTTTCAAACTGTTTTAATGATTTTTTCTCATCAATAGCCGACCGAACACTCCAAAATAACAATAACTCTAGAACCAATGCCTTAACAGACCACTTACCAGCAACACATCACACACTCCAGTTCAGACGGGTCACACAAGAAGAAGTGCAAAAGGCCATTCAATCTCTAAAGAAGAAAAATTCATCCGGAACTGATGAGGTATCAGCTAAACTTCTAAAAAACTGTAAAAATGAAATAGTAATACCCCTGACAGACCTCATAAATAAATCACTCTCACAAGGAAAATTCCCAGATAAATTAAAAATAGCTGAAGTCTACCCAAAATACAAAAATGGACCAACGATAGAAAGAAACAGCTACAGGCCAATCTCCCTAATATCAACATTTTCAAAAATAATCGAAAAGATAGTACTAGCCCAACTCCTACACCATCTTCAAGAACACAACCTTCTCAATAGTCAACAGCATGGATTTATCAAAGGCAGATCGACAGCCACAGCCTTAATACAACTGACGGAGCACATACTAGACCAACTAGAAGAAGGCAGCACTTCAACAAGCCTCTTCCTAGATTTTAGTAAAGCTTTTGACTGCCTAAACCACGAACTTCTTCTACTCAAGCTGGAAACACTAGGCGTGAGAGGAAGAGCAGCAGAATGGTTTAAAAGCTACATTAGTAACCGGAAACAGCTTGTAAAAATAGCCTACATAAAGAACAACACTAAGTATAAGGCCCAATCCAAAGCTGTAGACGTGCAAAGAGGAGTACCCCAAGGATCAGTACTTGGCCCAGTCCTTTTCCTCCTTCTCACGAATGACCTACCTAGTTGGATTGGGGAAGATGGACACACCACCATGTACGCAGATGACACGGTTCTCACATTTGCGGACAAAACAATGGAAAATCTGGAAGAGAAAACCAACACACAACTCCAGAGAACAAAGCAATACTGTACCTCCAACGACCTAGTTCTAAACGAAAGCAAAACCGTTCAAATGACTTTCACCACCAAACGCAACAACACAGACATTACAATACCGGGACTACAAACACAAAACACCACAAAATACCTAGGCATCATAATTGACTCCAAGCTATCATGGAAACCCCACATAGACCAGCTCTGCAAAAAGCTAAGTTCAAGTCTCTACGTTATATGTAGGATCAAGCAAGCTTGCAGCCCAGAAGTAGCCAAAGTTGCATATTTTGCTCTATTCGAGTCCCACCTCAGATATGGCATTGCGACTTGGGGTGGAACATCAAAAGGCAACCTGGAAAGAGTACTCCTAAAGCAAAAAAGAGCAATTAGATGCCTTGCCGACCTGAACTACAGAGTCAGTTGCCGAGAAGCCTTCAAGAACCTTAAAATTCTCACATCAATTTCACTCTACATAAGAGAAGTCATTACCCACACCACTAAAACAGCCCAGCCAAGACACAGAGACATACACCAGCACAACACACGACATGCCGCCAATTTTTCCCTCCCACAACACCATCTGAGTCTGTACGAGAAGAAACCATCCTACAAAGGTGCTCTGTACTTTAACAACCTACCAGAGCACCTCAAGAGAGAACAACCCAATCTGCTCAAGAAGCACCTGACAACATGGCTCATGGACCGGCCGTTCTACTCTGAGGATGAATTCTTAAACAAAAAGCTACCATGAAAAAAAGAAGAAAAAGAAGAAAAAAATTCTAATTGTAATTGCAAATTACTGTAATAGTTTACGTACATACTGTACATTTTATGTACCTGACGCATGAATGTTCTCTAGGAATATTTCAATAAAGATTTTGTCTATTGTCTATTGTCTATTGTCACCGGCCGCGACGAGTGACATCCAAGCCACAACTAACTAGATATTGATATTGATCTAGCTAGTTGTGGCTTGGATGTCACTCGTTGCTGTAAAAAAATCACTGGACAGCGGGTAATTTCACCAGTACTGTACACGTATTGATCAGTGACTCGGAGGCTTAACTCAAACAAAATTAAATTAAACAAGTAGTCATTAAGCTTACTTAAACTAGTTATTAATATAAAAATAATAAGAATGATGTTTTAAATATATGTACGAGTATACAGAAATGTAAATTTAAAACAATATTACCATCTTGTACAAGTCAAACAATTGTTTAGTTTATAACACAATCTAAGTTTTATTAAATTAGTAAGGCTTCCAAAAGTTTTAGAATGGATGATTTATAAACAAAGGTTGATGCGAATGTATAAAAATTCTATCCATTTGATTTACTTTGCTTTACTGCAGGTGTGTAATGTTCCGTTGTACTCAAAAGATATACTAATTAATTTTCTTTTTTTCAGTATTTCACCGAATACAAACTAAGCGAAAATTACACAGGGTACGACTTGGATTATGTGACCAATTTTATGCCTTACATAGGATTTGCTTCACAAGTGCCAAACTTGGTTTTCAACTGGCTCAACATTTTCTTGCAAATAGGGTAAGTGGACACTAAATAAGAATAACTTGTCTGGCTGGCTACATTAACCCTTACCGCGCTACAAATATGTCGGGTGGCCTTGACTGTAACGCTACATATACCTAAAAAATATTTTATCCCAAAAGTCAAAGCTGAATATTTTTTTTATAATTATAACAATATAACCAACGTAATAAGCCAATATAATAGCGAACGTAGCAGAGAACGAAGTTTTTTGTGGAGTCTGCGAGTTAACCAAACACTTGCGAGTTAGTTCGTCCACAGCGCTGGCGTCTCTCATAGCAGAGACCGGCAAGTGTAGGGTGCCGCCATTTTGAACAATCAGAGGGCGGGGAACGTTGTTGTTGTGATTTTCCATCACGTGATTTGTTCTCCAATAGCTGCTGCACTATCGGCAAAACTGGGAACTACAAGGACCAGCCAATGCACTCTCAGGGTGTATACCAACCGGGAAAACCGGGAGAACCGGGAAATAACCTTGAATTTGAAGGGACCTGGAAAAAACCGGGAAAAAGCCGGGATTTTTGGACCGATTCCGGGATTTTTATTTTAGCCCCGGTAGAAGATTGTAGTCGTAAAATAAGTCTTGCCGCGATTGCGGGCGACGACGATGACGTTTTCGTGACCGCGGGAGACGACGATGACGTTTCAGTGATCGCGGGATACGACAATGACATCGACACGTCCGCGGGAAATGACCATGATTTGCCGCGATTGCGGACGACAACGATGACGTTTCCGTGACCGCGGGAGACGACGATGATGTTTACATGGCTGCGGTAAATATTCATGATTTTACCGCGATCGCGTACTTCGACGATTACGTTTCCCTAACCGCTGGAGTCAAGATGATGTCTGCACGGCCGTGGAAGATTTTCATGATTTGCCGTGACCGCGGACGGACGATGACGTTTCCGTGACCGCGGGAGACGACGATGACGTTTCCGTGACCGCGGGAGACGACGATGACGTTTACGTGACCGCGGGAGACGACGATGATGTGTACACTGCTGCGGGAAATATTCATGATTTTGCCGAGATCGCGGACGACGACGATGACGTTTCCGTGACCGCGGGAGACGAAGAAGACGTTTCCGTGACCGCGGGAGATGACGATGACGTTTCCGTGACCGTGGGAGACGACGATGACGTTTCCTTGACCGCGGGAGACGACGATGACGTTTCCGTGACCGCGGGATACGACAATGACATCGACACGTCCGCGGGAAATGACCATGATTTGCCGCGATTGCGGACGACAACGATGACGTTTCCGTGACCGCGGGAGACGACGATGATGTTTACATGGCTGCGGTAAATATTCATGATTTTACCGCGATCGCGTACTTCGACGATTACGTTTCCCTAACCGCTGGAGTCAAGATGATGTCTGCACGGCCGTGGAAGATTTTCATGATTTGCCGTGACCGCGGGAGACGACGATGCCGTTTCCGTGACCGCGGGAGACGACGATGACGTTTCCGTGACCGCGGGAGACGAAGAAGACGTTTCCGTGACCGCGGGAGATGACGATGACGTTTCCGTGACCGTGGGAGACGACGATGACGTTTCCTTGACCGCGGGAGACGACGATGACGTTTCCGTGACCGCGGGAGATGCCGATGACGTTTCCGTGACCGCGGGAGACGACGATGACGTTTCCGTGACCGCGGGAGACGACGATGACGTTTCCGTGACCGCGGGAGACGACGATGACGTTTCCGTGACCGCGGGAGACGAAGAAGACGTTTCCGTGACCGCGGGAGATGACGATGACGTTTCCGTGACCGTGGGAGACGACGATGACGTTTCCTTGACCGCGGGAGACGACGATGACGTTTCCGTGACCGCGGGAGATGCCGATGACGTTTCCGTGACCGCGGGAGACGACGATGACGTTTCCGTGACCGCGGGAGATGACGATGACGTTTCCGTGACCGCGGGAGACGATGATTATGTCTACACGGCCGCAGATGTTTAGGATTTTGCCGAGATCGCGGACGACGGCGATGACGTTTCCATATCTGCGAGAGGCAATGATGATGTCTACACGGCCGCAGGAGATTTTCGTGATTTGCCGTGACCGCGAAAGACGACGATGATGATTTCTACGACGATGATGGCCGCGTGATATGCTCATGATTTGCCGTGATTGCGGCCGACGACGATGACTTTTCCGTGACCGCGAGATCAACGATGATGTTTACACTGCCACGGGAAACATTCATTATTTTGCCGAGATCGTGGACGACGACGATGACATTTCCGTGACCGCGCAAGACGACGATGATGTAGACACTGCCGCGTGGAAATATTCATGATTTTGCCGAGATCGCGGACGACAACGATGACGTTCCCGTGACCGCGGGAGTCAATGATGGTGTCTACACGGCCTCGGAACATTTATCGTTATTTTGCCGTGATCGTGGTCGATGACGATGACGTTTACGTGACCGCGGGAGTCAATGATGACGTCCACACGGCCGCGGAAGATTTTCGTGATTTTGCCGCGATCCTGGATGACGATGATTACGTTTCCGTGATCGCGAGAGACGGCGATAATGTATACATACCGCGGGAGATGTCCGGGATTTTTCTATGATAACGTAAGTGTGATGATGTTTACGTCACTGTGGGAAGCGACCACACGACCGCAGGAAATATTCAGGATTTTGCCGCCGTTGATAATGTGTTCATAAAAATGAAGATAATATTCAGGATTTTGCTGCTATCGAGAGAGAAGATGTTTCCGTGGCCTTAAGTAATGAAGATAATGAAAATGATTACTGTAATAAGGATTATTACTTTTTCAACACTAGCTCACTGGATTTTGAAACAAATTTGATGTAAGTTTATATTGTATACTTAAGCTGCAAGTCTTAAGTGGAACCAAACAAATACGCGGGAACCTGGAAAAACTTCGAAAAACCAGGAAAAAACCTGGAAAAAACCTGGAATTTCACTTTAATAAAATAGTATACACCCTGACTCTGTATTAAAGGCGAGTAGTCGTCTATGGCGTTTTGAGCAAAGGGAATTTCGGCGAGTATATTCGTCTATAGCGGGGTAAGGGTTAATAACATAGGATACAAAACCCATATCTGTTACAAAACGCATATAATCACACATACTAGTTTTTCCCCTAGTATTATTAAAGAAAATCAAAAAAGAGTACTTCTCTTTAAGAACTACTTCATTATTTGCAGTGGTTATAATGTGTATGAAGGAATTTGTCCCCAGACCCTTCCCCAACTGGGACTGGCCACTCCAAAATTTTATCCTGGGAATGTTACTACCATAGTGGTAACCATTTCCAACTTTGGTGTTGGCGGAATGGTTTGATTTCTGGTATGTCCAGAAAAAAACTAAGAAGTTTAGACAAATATCTCTTAAACACGTTTGTGGTCATTGTAAAAAAAAGAGCCTGAGTTGGTGACAGTGGTGTTGGCCATGGGAGACTCTCTCTAACAGATGAACAGTACATGTTTTCTCAGTGGTAACCTGACCACTCGCATAGTGTGGAGTCTGCTGGTGGAGGTGGTGATATTGGGTGGTGACAGTGGTGTTGGCCATGGGAGACTCTCTCTAACAGATGAACAGTACATGTTTTCTCAGTGGTAACCTAACCACTCACATAGTGTGGAGTCTGCTGGTGGAGGTGGTGATATTGGGTGGTGACAGTGGTGTTGGCCATGGGAGACTCTCTCTAACAGATGAACAGTACATGTTTTCTCAGTGGTAACCTAACCACTCACATAGTGTGGAGTCTGCTGGTGGAGGTGGTGATATTTGTGGTGACAGTGGTGTTGGCCATGGGAGACTCTCTCTAACAGATGAACAGTACATGTTTTCTCAGTGGTAACCTAACCACTCACATAGTGTGGAGTCTGCTGGTGGAGGTGGTGATATTGGGTGGTGACAGTGGTGTTGGCCATGGGAGACTCTCTCTAACAGATGAACAGTACATGTTTTCTCAGTGGTTACCTGACCACTTGTATAGTGTGAGACTCTCTCTAACAGATGAACATGTACATGTTTTCTCAGTGGTAACCTGACCACCCGCATAGTGTGGAGTCTGCTGGTGGAGGTGGTGATATTTGTGGTGACAGTGGTGTTGGCCATGGGAGACACTCTCTAACAGATGAACATGTACATGTTTTCTCAGTGGTAACCTGACCACCCGCATAGTGTGGAGTCTGCTGGTGGAGGTGGTGATATTCGTGGTGACAGTGGTACTGGCCATGGGAGACTCTTCAGATTGGCCTGGAGTGTTTTTCTGGGTTACAATGGCCTCTGTGGTCGTCCTCAACAGTAAGTTGTTGTGACATTCTTTTCTGCCGTAATGGTTACTTTTCTTAGTGTAGATTACCCCAAGGTTGATAATTGATTTTTCCTACAGTCACCCGACAAAGTTGGCTTTCTTGTACTGTTAATAGTACAGAAAGCTGCTAATTGCTGCATATTTATACTTTGGCACACATCAGGATTCCAACGAAACAACACAAAACAGCGTGGTTCTATTATGCACGTAATCCGTGTACGCTTGGAAATAGGTTCGCAACACTTAAAGATAATAATACTATGAGCAGCTGATTGACTATTATGAATATGATTTAACCTGTCATTTCGTGTTTATAGTCTATGTTCTCTTTTTGGTATTTCTAAACTTTCTGGACTTTCTTTTAAACGTTTTTAAAACATTCCTCTACGATCTTAATAAACAAGAAAATACCTTAAAAGCATTTTTTTAGGCGTGGAAACCACTGCAAATTACAAAAATATACAAAACTATTTTCTCAAGTCGTAGAGCACAATGCTTGCCGAGGAAAAATAGCGGAGTGATACAGACCGGGGACTACTTTCTCTAGGGCACCTATTTGTGTTACCAGCTGAACCTAAAAACGTGTTGTATAGTGTTTGAAAGACTAATTATTTATATGCTTTATAGTGACTGTAGGAAAAATATAATGTGTAACACGAGTGCAATAGGCCTTTGCTGCACTCAAGATCATTCCTCTCGTAAACATTGCTCTCGTGTGTAGCAAAGTGCCACTTTGCTCACTAGTTACACAAATAACTATTGTCCTTTTAATAGCTAATTTTTATTTCCAAGTCATATAGTATATATGAGGGTTGTACGTAAATTAAGTTCTCTATTAGCTACCATCACAGCTAAGTAAGCTAGTTAAATCTGAGACCAACGTTGTGTTCCTTACTCTATACACTACTATTTTAGCTGGTTCCTGCCACTGTAAAGTGATAAGTGTTTGAAAAGGTTTTGATAGACAAATTATACTTGGTGGGTGCTTCATTTTTCTTTCATAACATCTTTGACTAATAACTTTGAGCCCTTAACCTTTTAAACCTCATATGGTGCATGCAGAAGCTTATTACGCATAACATTATCATACAAATTCTTTCAATCTCTTGATTTTATCACGTTATTTTGCAGTTAAATTCTAACATAAGTGATAGGAAACCAACTCACTATTTTTAAATCGTAAATTGTACAACTATATTTATAAGGAAAATTTCAAAAACCATAATGAGTTTATGAAATAATAAATTAGTGGTTATTAAGGTCAGTTTTACAGGAGGGGGCGCTTGCGGTGATTTTATCTGCGGCGAATCAATTATAAAATTAATGGAAAAAAATTATTTGACAACGTATTTTAGGAAATTTTTACATTTTTTAAAATACTAATTTTATAATCAAATTAGCTGTACCCGCGGGCTTTGCCCCGTTTAACTTCATAAAAGATATTAATAATATCTATGGTTCTTACCGTCAACGCAATCAGGGGTAATATTCCACTACAGCCGTTTCGGGGATGACTCCATCGTCAGATGCGTAGTGGTACACTAAACTATAGTCTTGTCACATTTCTTCATTTGCATTGCGTCAGGGGTTGAATAAATAATACACATAAATGTACAGGACGGACACACGAATACACGAAAACATTTAGAGCGTGTGCACGGCTTGAAAACTGACGACCGACTCATATTTCATAAAAGAGCTCGTTCGTATGGCTCAATCACGTCCTGGTTGAAGTTCTACCCTCGTTCGCCTTCAGGTTAGCTCGTTAGCTACGCTTGCTCGCCTCCAGGTTGAGAAGTTCGTTTGCTACGCTCTCTCACCTTTTGGTTGCAAATTAGCTGTTGTCATAAATTAAAAAAAAAACAATAGTACTGCACCCTGTCAGTAAACCTATTAACTTTTTAATGCTATTGAACATCACAGAATCAAATTGTTTAGTTGAACCAGCTGTTAAGATTCTTTAATTCCATTTAAATATTGAGTACTCATAAGGTTAACATGGGAAACTCCAGAGCCACTGGGGCGGAGCCCTTTTGACGGATCTTCACCAAACTTCACGCAAACCATCCTTGAATAATGCTTAATAATGCCTGAAAGTTTCATTACAGTCTGTCGAGCGGTTTCGGAGTCCATAAAGGACAAACAAACGAACAAACATACAAACAAACATACATTGTAATATTATAAATGAGAATATTATATATATAGATAAAAATACAATGTGGTATATGTAAATGAGTTCTTCAGAAGTAAAACGAAAACCTAGATAGGGTACATGTGGAAAAAACCTCCGCAACTTAATCGGACTCTCCAACTCACATCTAGATTAAACCTAGAGGAACAATGGGTGCAAGTTTTTGGGAAATCCAGGAATGTGGCATGTCAAGGAGGGAGCCGGAAATGACTGGCGACACCAATTAAGTAGTTTTTTTTTTACAAAATTAGCTCAGCTCTGCAAGCGCCCTCTCAAGGGTTGTAGGTGGGAACCGGCTGAAATAGTAGTGAATGGAGTAGGGATCATGACTTTGATTTTAGGTTTAACTAGACTATTTACTTGGCTGCGACCCTATTATTAATTTTCATTGCGTGCACGATCTCTTTAATGTATCTCAGAAAAATTACAAATACTAATGAAACATACTATGAAAACACGAAATCTAACTTAAGTCATTTTCTTCTTGACATTTTAAACAAATAACATTACAATATCTTACTTTAATTCCCTAAAACATTAATAAAACATACTGTGAAAACACATAATCCTATCACAACACGAAATATAACGTAAGTCTTTTTCTTTTTTACATTTTATTCAAATACTTACTTACTTACTGGAGTGGCCACTGGTACCCTAAGAGGTACTTGGCCTCGCCCACACACTGCCTCCAGATGTCTCTGTCTTTGGTGTCATTTTCACTCCTTCCCAGTCTTCTTACATCTTTTTGTACTTGATCCTTCCATCTAAGTTTGGGACGGCCTCGTCCAAACTTTGATTTTTTATTCATATAACATTACAAAATTTTACTCGAATTCGCTGAATCATCACCAACTACAACAGATGACCCCATTTTCGTATGGATGTAAACAAAACTGTATCATGGCTATCTGATTTGATGTAACCAAAATGTAAACTTGAAAAAGTTCAGATGATTGCCAACAGAATTCAGCAAAAACTATGAATTTTTAAAAGCCTATAGGACGTCCAATGTATCCTATAATTTGATAGTCTAAATTGTATTTTAAAGCCTAAATTTGAGAGTTTAGATTAAAATTATTATTTGTATGTGATTTGTTGACAGTGGCCAATGGAATATACCAGAACACTGTGTATGGGATGGCTGCTAAACTGCCCTTTAAGTACACTGGAGCTGTCGTCTTAGGATCTGTAAGTTTGATATTTTGAGCAAATACTTTTTCTTTTTGTCAACTTAACAATTCCGAAGAAATATCCATCTACATTAATCATTTTATGCACATTTCTCATGCCATGAGAAATTTCTCGTTTAGATATACTAGTTAGGCCGTAGAACGCTCAGTAATTATATTTGTCCTGTAAATTACCAAACGTACATCTTTCATCATAGTCTCTCTCTACAAAATGTTAAGTGTAAGGAGAGTAGTTTTGTCAATGCGTCCACGGTAGAATCTGCCCTACAGAGTCATCCTAAATGGTAGGCAAAATAATTATCATAACACTTTTACAAGAGTGAGGATGATATAGCTCCTTTGAGCGTCTGCAGCATTTCCTGTGCGCTTCTAGAGCTCTGAGCCTTCAGTTAAATAAAAATTATCAGTTAAGACCGTGGACTAGCTTTTATATTATCCCTGGTGTGGTTGGTTCTAGAGGTAGGCCTAACCTGTATTATGATTATAATTTTATCTCCCCTCTGGAATTTAGGTCACATACAAATAAATAAGTATATTGAGACGTTGTTGTACATTTAATGATAAAGAAGAAAATGATAAAATTGTTTTGTTTTATTTTCCTAATTTGACAATCAATCAATCAATTATTTAAGATGGGGACGCCACTATGTGCGTATTTTAACCCAAATATGAGTGTAGGATGAGTGGCGCGATCTTGTAGTCTTGTTAGTGACTAAGGCCGACATGTTCCTTAAACACAGCTGTTAATTAATAGCCCATACAGCTAATGGCAACTAAGGGACCTACAGTTTATTGTGGAATCCGAACCACATTTTTTCCTCGTAATTAACGAATTGGTCTTAATTATTAGGATAGTACTGCAGATAGTCGTAGTACTCACTAGCGCGGACGTTAATCCACACCAGGGAGCATTGCATCCACAGTGATTCCCTATAAATATCCACAATTTGTGACCTCCTAGTAGCTGGATTACAGGACAACACCACCCGTCCCAGTCAAAAGTTGTCATGATAAACAGAGATTGTACTTTGATGAACGCTTGCAAATAAAGACCTTATTTATTTATGTATTTATTTATTATTTTCAATGGTAATTTGTTCTTTACAATGAATAATAAAAGTGTATACCAAAAATAAAAATAGAATATTTTACTTAATTGCCAGTGGATAATCAATGTTTTTTGTTTTTTCATTAGGTGTATAAATATATAAGTTTTTAGGCGTACCTACCACCATGTGAGCACACAACATACAGCTGTCAGTGTGAAAAGCATGCATTTTATAAATTTAAACCGACGATGGTAATTGCCCTAGTGCCTTATAATGGTGATCGTGAAAGCAAGACACAAAGGAAATTGTAGTTGCTTAAATTCAGAGGGTAATTCGGATGAAATCATCTGTATTCTTGGGATTAGGACTATTTCTCCTTTAAACTTACCACTGATAATTTTTTCTTAAATCAATTTTGGTGTCATTTTTTTAATTATCAGTCTGGTAACGTTGCACAGCTTCGGAGGATTTAAGTTTCACATTAGTATTATTGGAGTTCCTTCTTTTAATTACAGTAATGTTAATAATTAAGTGTGTTAATTAGTGTGTTAATAATTGAGAGGCATTTGAATACCTGAGATAGCACGCACGATTATTATTCACTTAATAATTCATGTTAGATTGTGTGGGTATAGAACAAAAGATAAAAATATTAAAGCATTGCCATCCCTTTTATTGTTAATAATACTTTGATAAAGGTTTTTATGTTTACATTGGAGAATTTAAAGGTTGTTGAGTGCACAGGTGTGCTGCGATTGGGGTTTAATATATTTGGACTTATTCAAAAGTAAAATAGTTTTCTGTGCTGCACTCTGTGGAAACATTGTGGCACTATTTCAAATCATGACTAATACAGAATGTTGTGATTATTCAAACCTACAAAACAGTTGGTGAAAGGAAACATCTGCTTTTAAATTATAACTAATATAATGGTTTTAAATACCTTCAGTCACCAGTTCAAATAAGTCGGCCATTGCGACCTAGGTTTCGGCACAAAGTTGTACCATCATCAGGCAGGCCAGTTTTGAGTCTTCAGTCCAATGGACGTCGTTGGGTTAAAACAAATAACAGTTCACGACATACAGCACAAACACGCACACAAACACATTTAAAAATAATTTTAAAAAAAATTTGATATTATATTTATTTGTAACCATAGTAGTTCCAAAAGTCTGACATTAGCCCACTTAAAACCCTCTGGGGCAGAGCCCTTTTGACGGATCTGCACTGAACTTCACACCAACCATCCTTGGATAATGCTTAATAATGCCTGAAAGTTGTATTACAATCTGTCAAGCGGTTTCGGAGTCCATAAGGTACATACATACTGTATATACATACATGCATACATAGTTCCTTTTATAGATATAGATAACATAGAAAAGAAAAATGGTTTGTTTTACCTTACCGCAGCTGATTCTGGGTGATATCTGATTTCCATGGCAACACAACCTTGTTTTTAATTCGAAAAAAAAAGAGTAAATACACAAAACAATAAATTTATAAACATCATAAAAGTAAAAGTCATATTTTGTTATTGTTACAATACAAACAAGGGAAATAGTTTTTCCACGGACGGTATATTAATTGTTAAACAAATTTTTGAAACAATTATCATTTATGTGGCCTACTCAGTTTATTTACATACATATTAACCAACAGTTAGCCCCAAAAATCTAATCCACAAACTCGAATCCCAAAATTAAAATGCAAAACCTCTTTCATTAGTTGAGGTTACAAATAAATTAAGATAGGCTACTTAATAATAAAATGTTTACTATTAAAATAAAACTGAAAGAAGAAAATTAATTAATCTAACTTATTTCTATATCTGTATTTTTTTACCCCTGGTACAATTCCGGAGGTAAAAATCCAGGTACATTTTGAGCTTACCTCATAAAAGGGTAAAATAAAAGGGGCCTCATAAAAGAGTCCTGGGGTAAAATTCCGGCTCGTACACTCTAGGTTTTATAATTTGATGTGTTCTGATTAAACTCGGAAAATATTTTTAACTGTGAAAATATATGTTTAATTCCATCTTTAATTTATTGAACTGATGTTGCACAACTCAAAAGTTCGCAGCCAGAATTTTACCCCCTGGTTTGTGACGTCAGTTTTGCTCGGGGGGGGGGGGGGGTAAAATTCCATGGGGATAGAATTTCTGCTACCCCTTATTATTATTATTGTTGTTAAAGGGATTATTTCATACATTTCCCATCAGTTGTTTTTGAAACTCAATTTAACCTGTCATAAAACCTAACAACATAAACCTAACTTCCCAACCCTAAACCTTACACATAGAAAATTATGACCAAACTGACATTTAACTGATCAAAATTGCAATTAATGTATCACTACCATGATTGACAGAATGTGTGTGGGACCCTGACTGCACTCATCAGTATTGCTTCCTCAGCCGTAGCTCCCAACGCCCGCACTGCTGCCATCTACTACTTCATCGCTGCCTTGTTTGTGCTGCTTGCTTGTCTGGACACATACTTTGCTCTACCACTCAATGTAAGTAGCACAGATCCTGAGTACCAATTAGGTCAAATATGTCAAAAGATGCACCTTGTTTTTGCTATTTTACGCCAAGATAAGTTAAGATAAAAATGTTTCTTTCATTTCCTTGACTAACTTTTTCCATGGAAGTACTTGAATTAAGCTTTCAATATAACATAATCACAAGGTGTTTGGGAGACTTGGATGAACATGAATTATGAATACAATACATCTGAATCTACGTCAACAAAATATTAAAGAATTTTGTAGTGATAAGACTTTCTGAAATATTTATTTATTAACGGATGATTGCTTGCAGCAAGGCATTTTGAATTAAATTAAAAGTAATATATTTGATAAACACATCACACCAGTGTAATAACTTATTGGTTTGACACAATTAACAATATATTCAACACAGGGCCAGAAACAAAAAGTGTCCAATACTGGGGCTTTAACCCTTTCAGTGCTAGGCCAATAATTCATATTTCGTAAGACTTTTTTGTTTGCCTTTTAATTCCATTACCTGTTGTTGAATTTTAACTGTCATGTTGTCACTATTTTATTAATTGGGCTAATTTTGAATAATAACACAATAAGAAAATATATAACAAAGATAAATACCGGTATTTGTAGTAAACCTTAAATAAAACTTAGTTTTTGTTGTAATTTTCCTGGTTTGACTATAAATTTGTGTGTTCTGATAGCATTGTTTGAAACCAAAATCTCATAAAATCAAAAGACATATAGTTTACAATGTAATATTGAATTTAACTTTTGATTTAGTTGGACGAGGTTATCGTAATATAGCCATTTTAGGGAAACTAATGTTTTGCAGCAAAGTCTCAGGAACACATTTATGATCACTGTTGTGTTTCAACTAAAAAATTTCATCTAAATAGTCTGCGACTAACTGGTGCTGCTACCTAGTAACGCATTGAACAACCATCTGTTCGCAATCGGTGGCGTCAGCTTAAATACCGGTGTTTGACTCCTCAGTCTTCAAGCACAGATAGCCGAGAAGGCTAGGGCGAGTGTCACTTGGCCAGTGGCATTCTTCTGCTTGGGTTCGAATCCCGTCCTGTGTGGCAAATAATTAGTGACCTGTGTGACAACCACTGGGGCATAGTGAGGTGTTCATAATCCTTGGTTTAGACATACACCTCAAAATCATCGGATTGGGCGAATCTTTTAGCTAAGTGGTTGTTAGTGTATCCTAGTAATTAATCTTAGTAAGAAATATACTGTTAAAGTTTTTAAGAACAAATTTTATGAGTGGTTATCTAAAAATCCTTTCTATTCACTTAGTGAATTTTTCTTATTAAAACAGATAGAATTTTAATGTTTGAAATCTGTTATGTATAATTTTTGATTCTTGTATAGTTCCTATGAATTGTATATTTCTATGATATGTGATATTACCCTTAGGCCTAATTATTAGCATAGAGACTTGGCATTTCTGCTGTAATATTTGACTTTGTTAATGCTTATGTAGCCTGAAAGACAATAAGCATATTCTTATTCTTATTCTTATTCTTATTCTTATTCTTATTCTTATTCCTATGAACATGCAGGTCACCAATGGCCGTTTTGCTATTTTTTGTTTAAATAACCTTCCTCTCTATATCCCTTAGAGATTTTTTAAAACAACGATATATCGTTTAATAGCACTGAAAGGGTTAAAGTATTTTGATGTTGCTGGAAATTGTCTTAGAAATTGGAAAGAAGTCTTATGATTGTCATTAGAGATATAATTTTTGTTGTCTGCGATCTTTTGCAATTTGTGAGCTTTTGCTTCTGAAGGTTAATTAGGTTTCTCATCTATAGTGCATTGCACATCACTATTGTTAATCTCCCTTTAATGTAATGAAAAATCCCATTTTGTTTCACATAAATTGTTTAAAAAGACTCCTGTTCCATCTCAAGCGATAATTTTTATTATCATGTTTAAATATCTCTTTGAACCTTGCTATAACAATGCTAATGTTCAATTTATTAGGATTGATTTTTTTCTGATATGCAGTAAAAAAAAATCAGGTGTCAGAGCCTTAAATCCTGTTTAGTGGTCTAAAACTCTTGCATCTGGAAACACTGTTCAAAATCATACCAGTTGAATAAAATATGGATTCAGGTAACCTTTTTCAATTTTCAGAGGTTCTATCGTTATCATGAGATGTTGAATCAAAAGGAATCACAATCCAAGCGAAGAAACAACCAAGGAGCGGATCCAAGTGTTCCTTATGGAAAAGTCTTCCGAAAATGTTTCCCACAATGTTTCAATGTGTTCTTCATATTTTTTGTTACACTCACTGTGTTTCCTGCTATTCATTCAGGTATTTCAACTTTATGTTTACATTATTTTAGCTTAGGCTATGTGTGCAAATATAATTTTCATTAGATTAGATTTAAGTCCAAATCATGTTTAAATGCACATTTTATCCGGTAGGTATATACTCTCTAAACAGACTTGACATTTTTTTGGTAAGGTTTTGATAGAGATCAAGAAATATTTTTTCAGTGTAGTGATGATTGCCACGATCTCAGGAAATCATCACTGACGTTGCCGCAACTGCTGGAAATAATCACGGATGATGCTACGGGATCGTAGTTACTACTGTTTTTGTCTCTGGGGACATCAAAACAAAAAAAGCAAATCAGAAACGAGTCTAGGTTTTACCGTGCCACCTAATTCCCTGTAGGAAAATTAACTGAAACCATTAAATTATATGTTATTTTATAGTCTTACCTCAATACAGTTCAGTATTTTCATTCTACTGGTTAGTTTTAAATACCCTTAATTTCAGATATCAAAAGAGTGGACAGTGACTTTGTGATTGGTGACAAGTACTTCACCCAAATCACCTGTTTCCTCACATTCAACCTTTGCGCATGTATTGGCAGCTTCCTCGCCACCTTTGTGTCTTGGGTAAGTGTAGCAGTGGACAAGTATTGTGGTGGATAAAAATAATAACCCCGCCGCAGCAGACCTGCAGACTAAGCAAATTTCCATTTGCCTGATTGAATTTACTCTAATATCTCCTTCAAAATATCACATTTATTCCCTACTAGCTGTGAGTCCGTTCTACGTACAGGGATCTTGTAGTAAGTTGAAACCTTCTTATATTCAGTACAGGACTTGGTTTGCATATTTAGTGTGCATTTTTTACATCCTTCCTGTACATCCTTCTGCGAAAGCCCATTCTCATAGTCTTGTCAGGATGATTTGTTAAACTTCATCATATTAGGTAGGGGAAAGTCGGGTAATTAGGCGCAGCGGGTAATTGTGCGCACCGCCATATTTAATATTTGGAATCTACTTACCGACCTCCAATCGGTGCTACGACCTAGTGGTGGTTGGAAGAACTACGCCAAAACTGCAACGGCGGCCATTACATTGTTTTCATAACCAGTGAAGCTTTTTTTATAAACGTGATGTGTTTGTTGTTATTTTCGCCAGCTTCAATTTAAGAAGGTATGCCTACAAATAATTTTCTATTTAGTTAAGATTGTTACATATAGGTTATATAAGTCTTACGGAACAGATATATGTCTATGGTTATATCCGATTATTAATGTTTCTGGTAAAAAATTTAAACATAAACTCTGGGTACGCGGTCGGGTAATTGAGCGCAGTGGTGCGCACAATTCCCCCTCACATGTTGCTATGGTAATTACGATTTCGGGTTTTTTTTCGTTTCAGATGCCACAAAAATATATCAGGAAGACGGCAAAAGGATTGTCGTACTCTGCCGATGATTTAAGAAAAGCAATTCATGAAATTCGAGTAGAAAAACAGAAAATTAGAGAAGTTGGACGACGTTTTGGAATACCTGAGTCGACTCTGAGAAAGCAAATTCGTTTGCCCAATCCTTCATCCACAGACCCCCTAGGCCGTAAGCCTATATTTGGTCCCCAACTCGAGCTTGATCTCAAAGAATACATACTATCTCTTTGTAAGTTGTTTTATGGTTTGACACCGAAAGAGTTGAGACGCCTTGTTTACAAATATGCAGAGTCTAAGGGACTATCACATAACTTTAATAGAGAGTTAGGTATGGCAGGAAAAGACTGGTTATATGGGTTTCTTAATAGACATCCCGAAGTAAAACTCAGGCAACCTGAAGGAACAAGTATTAACAGAATATTGGCGTTCAATCAAGAAGATGTAAGTAAATTTTATGACAACCTCGAGGCAATTTTGAAGAAGCACAATTTTCCTCCTCACAGGATCTACAATCAGGACGAAACTGGAATATCAACTGTCCAAAAAAAATGTCCTAAAGTGCTTGGATTGAAAGGTGCTAAAAAAGTAGGCACTGCCACTTCTGCTGAACGAGGGAGGAATATATCAGTCCTTTTTGCTGTAAATGCAGCTGGACATTTCATTCCCCCAATGCTGGTATACCCTCGTGTAAGAATGACACCTCAATTGCAACGGAATGGACCTGTAGGGGCTGTATACACATGCTCATCAAACGGATGGAGCAATGAGACTATCTTCATCAATTGGCTTCACCACTTTGCAGCACATGCCCATCCTACCAAAGAAGACCCAGTTTTAATTATTTTAGACAATCACAGTAGTCACGTGTCACTTGAAATTTTCCTCCTCATACGTCTCATAGGCTTCAGCCGTTAGATTTGACATTTTTTGGCCCATTAAAAGGAGCTTTATACAGGGAGTATGATTCATATCTGACAAGCTCAGGGCACACAAAAATTACAGAGTACGACATTGCGGAGCTTCTCAACAAAGCGTTTATAAAGACTGCGACAATTAAAAATGGAATATCTGGGTTTACTTCCTCTGGTATTGTGCCGTTTGACCGAAACAAGTTCTCTGAAGAAGACTTCGCCCCTGCCACAGTTTCTAATGAAGCAATAGTCGTTATGAGCTGTGAGACACCTGATACCTCTAAGAAAACCGCTACCAGCGAAGTAGGCCTAAACGAATCTAGACAAGAAGACCAGTCCAAAACAAGTGGACCACTTTTCGATCCCTTTAAACCGTCAACGACAACTGGAACCCTTTTTGACAGAAGCCGTCAACATCAAGAGGACCTATTTTTGACCCCTCTAAGCCGTCAACGTCAAGAGGACCTATTTTTGACCCCTCTAAGTCAACGTCGCCAAATTCGTTTTTTGAATTTGCTCCGATTCCCAAAAAACCCAGACTTCCCAATGCCAGGAAAGTAGTTTCAAGAGAAAAGCAGCACTCAGAATTGCTTACTTCAACGCCAATGAAAATAAAGTTGGAAGTAGTTGCACAAAAAAGACAGACTAACTTTTCAAAGAAAAAGAACAGAGAACTCAAGAAGGCTGCCAGAATGTTGAATATGGAGGAAGTAAAAACTGAAAAAGGTTCAAACAACAACAAAATGAAGGCTAAAAAACGAAAGAAGAAGGTGAAGGACACATCGGATGAGTCAGACATAGAAGAAGCACCTCTCTTCCAAGATCAAGATGATGACATCATTGATCTCGTAGACCCCAACATTGTCGACAAAACAACTTTAGACATATGTTCCATATGTGGGGACATAGGCAAAGACAACGCGCTTTGGTATAGATGTGTCATGTGCTCGTCTTGGAGCCATTCTGAATGTACAGGATGGGATTCAGCCAAGGACTACATCTGTGACTTCTGCAACTACACATTTTAGAAAAAATGTTTCCTATTAAAACTAATTTCCTAAAAATTAAAACTACTTACTACAGTACTTACTTGTTTTTTTAATAATAAACATAATGTAATTGAATTTGGACTACTTTATTGTATAAGTACCTAAGCTTCCACCACGCGCCCAATTACCCAGCGGTAGTGCAATTGGGCGCAAATGCAGAGTTGTATATTTTTATAAATAAAAAAAGGATTTATGAAACATCTTTCTTAGAATAGATATAATGTACTAGAATAAATTAGCTATCAATTCATGATATTATTAACAGATTTACTTTTAAAATGTCAAAGTTACAGTTGATTTAGGTTAGGTGCGCCCAATTCCCCCACTTTCCCCTATATGTTCACTTTCTTATCCAATCCGTGTAAAAGTGTAGTTTTACTAATTTTATCATTAGCAGTCGCTATAAATTTCATAGGACGCAATTTTACATAGGCCTATACATCTATAAATCGGGTGAAGAAAGGTGCAATATACTAGGCCTACTTATTTTGTTTTTACCACATCCACTAAACCAATGGAATTTTTAGGTTTTCAGAGTATAAAATGACAAGAGCTCATATTTACCCCGTACAACCCTTTGTTAAAGCCTGTTCTCATAGTCTGATCAGGATGCTTTGTGAAACTCATCATATTATATACACGTTCACTTTCTTATGTCCAATCCAATCATATCAAGAAATGAGTTTTATCAACAGTAGTCACTTTAAATTTCATGGGATGCTTTTTTTACTTATTCCTCCGTAACCCCACCTTCAAATCCAAGGACGCTAGTTCTAGCCCGGGGAACGAGCTGGTCTAATGGTTTGAGCGCTGAACTTCGTTCCCTGAGGTCCCAGGTTCTTCAAACCCCGCCAAATCACCACAATGGATTTTGATTTTATCCCCGCAACCACTAGGTCTAGCCTGAAATAATGTGATAATCAATCCCAGGCTCGTGCCTAGCGTCCTGGGGAAAAAGATTCTAGCCTCTAAATCTTTAACACATTACTTCAGGCTAATAATAATTCATGGTATTCCTATGGACACTAGGGTGTCCTAACGTAGACTGATGAAATAGACCTAATAGTAATACGGGGCGCGACCACAGGGAACCTAAAGTCAGCGGCTGAACACAAGTCAAAAATACACCTCTTTTGCTTTATTAGTCCGCTCTATATCATGTATTTATAAATGGTAAACTCAACCTCATGGAGTATCTACTGTATTACTCCAAATTTTATCAAGTGTGGAGGGTTAACCTTAAACACATTAACACATTAGAGCTATATGAGGAAAACTGGCCTATATTGGTAATTTTATCTGTAAACTTACTCATCCACTAAAATTTGTATGTTTTTTAAATTAGGCTTGTAAAAGTTTCAATTAGGCTAATATAAATAAAAAATACACCTTGAAAAAAACTGGTAAATGGTAAAATTCTACAAAACTCTAATGTGTTCATCAGAAAACTATGTAAATGAACTCTGTTTTATTGTTGTTGTTTGTGTTTCAGCCTAGTCCCAGAGCCGTGGTGATTCCTGTAGTTTTGAGAGTTCTCTTCATTCCCTTGTTCCTAGTGTTTAACTATCATCCACTGAGGGTTGAACGAGTGTTTCCCATACTCATAGCCAACGACTGGATCTACTGGGTTGCCGCCTTCGTCTTCGCCATCACAAGTGGCTACTATAGCTCCGTATGCATGATGTATTGCCCCAGGCAAGTTCTGCTAATTTTTTTTAGAAAAGATTATACAGATTCAAATCTTTATCTATTTTACAATTGTGTTCTTTGGAAAAAAAATCCTACATGAACTAATGTTAATGTAGACACTACAGTCGGGACCACGTAAGTTTGCAGTTGAGGGAGGAGCCTTATTTACCATATGGTTTTGGATGAACCAATGAGAACCGTGCGATGTTGCCAAATCTAATAATACCAGCTGATTTGAAAATATTGCTTAGTATAGCCTATTTTAATTAGTGTTGTCAACGGGCGATGTGGCAACGTCGCACTAGCCTTGTCTTGTGATTGGCTGCCACCAACTGCAAACTTACGTGGTCCCGACTATAGTGTATGTTACCCAAGCCATATTCGATAGTTACACTGTTGCAGCAGCCATAAGCTGGTTTTAAGTGTAGGTTTATGAGTTGAATCATAAAAGCCATAAAGACCACAGTCAAAGTTTGCATAAAACAGTACAGTATGTTGTTTTGGTAGAAGGTCATTTGTATTGATGGTCAAATCCAGGAATCTTGAATCCGAATCCCAAAAATATTGTATCTCGAATCTCGAGTCCCAAAATAATTACAAATGGGCTTATGGAGATTAAAAAATCAAGAATAAAATAGGAACCATTTAAAAATAAATGTTACACTAACCATAAATGACTACGCTTTGCAATGAAAAGTTACGTAATTACTTTTGACACACGGCAAAAATAACAGACGACTAATCTCTGTTACATCTTTTAACCTATTAACCTAAAAGCGAACGGTCGGTCGGTATACTTTATTTGGCGGCAAATATTCATTATTGGTTCTTTATGGTTGTTGTAGGTACACTTGTTAATTTTAAATTCCTTGATCGATAGTATACTCTGTTCATAAAATGGCAATGTCACAGTACTGTATTTATGAAGTTAATAACCTCTATGGTTAGGCAATGTCACAGTATAGCGTATATTACGACATCAATAACCTTTATGGCTATGCAATGTCACAGTACTGTATATGCCTTATAATTCCATTCTAAAAAATAATTTTGATTCTCGAATCTTGTTAATCGAATTTTGAATCCCAATATTTTTTCAGGATTTGGTGGATTCGACACATCCCTAGTCATTTGTATCAATATTGTTTGATCTGTTGTAGAACTGTGGAGTCAGAACACGCAGCTACAGCAGGAATGTTCGCCGCAGCTTCTCTCATTACCGGCATCTTCAGTGGCATCATGTTCTCAGCACTGATGCCGTGGTTTGTGGGCAATATCACCTTGGACTGGATTGGTTCACTAGGCCAGTTGTAGATAATCATAATACAGACTTGCATTTAGCAGTAGGGATCTCAGAAAGAAAATAGTTATTCCACTCATTCAAAAACGAATCATTGCGGGCCTCTAGTTTAAATTGCCACACTTTACTAAAGGAAACCTATATTTGTCACATATATCTACAATAAAAGCTCAGAAACTCAGGAAAGTATAATGCCACTACACTTTTTTCACTGACTGATGCTAAGTTTCAGTTTGGCTACTATGGGACTTCCCAGTCTCTTTCTTGCATCCCCAGAGGAGGTATAGCATCATGAATGGTCTATTTCAATAATATACCCTACATTGAATCGTAAGACATTGTGTTTAGTTATGACACTAAACCAAATTTTAAACCTTATTCTCCATTAAGAAATTCACACAATGAATTTATGTTTTATGTTAAAGAGGATTTTTGTTGAACCTCTTAGGTGTAATAATTCCTAAAGGGATTACAATGTTACAGTAAGCTTTTACAAACTTTTCAACTGTTGTCGCTTTTGTAACGTCCCGATTCATTTTTGAAATGCATGAGTTTAGTTTTCCCTTGGAGCGTGCGATAAACTTCAAGATCAACTGTTTGCCTTGAGCAATTAATCCTATTCATCTTACTTGTAAATACAGTATAAATAAGATAAAATCGGTAAACAGTGAATTTAAATGATCTCTTTTAAGTGGTTTACATGACCAGTACTCATTAAAAACCCGATTTTATAGCTTAGACAAAACAGCAGGGGCGGCTCCAGGAATAATTTTTTTGGGTAGGCCTGACAAAGATCAAGAAGGAGTTTGATCGGGGGACGAGAGGTTTGAGAGGGGCTTCCCCGCAAAAAGGGGTGAATTTTACAATTTAAATGCAAACTAATAAGTTTGAATGTTTTCCCTTTATTTACATATAATTAAATTACTTAATTTATTTATAATTTTGAAATATCCACCAACATTTTGGGTAGGCCTGGGCCTAACTGGCCTGCCCTCTGGAACCGCCCCTGCGAAAACAGCTATCTATATTATGTATGCTTTTTCATATTTTAAAACGAATTAGTTTAAATATCACAAAATAATTTATAGCACAACACTGTGTCATGGTTCTTGGCTTAATGACTCAAGATGACCTGTTTTCTGAAATTTTGACCTAGTTTAATTGTTGTTGATTGCTCGCATTACTGTTCCTAAAATCTATAGTAGACATATCACATAGAATTTTGAGCTTTTTGTAAAATATTTTCCCTGCACATTTGTTGTAGTATGTAGAAAAATCATTGCCTTTTACCATTTAAGATATTTTTAGAAACATGAGAATGATGAAAATTGTTAGTAATTGAAGAAAACCTTTCTTATTTTTCATAAAAGTACATACATTTTTTAGTATAGGTACAACTGTGTAAGTTAAAAGTTATTTTTTAATATCACACTACCACTTGTACATGATTGATGTTTCCTCTGGAGAAAATCTGTTTTTTATCATTCAAACTTGCAACTATAATAAATTAATAGTTTTGATACAATACTGTAAAGTAAACATCCCATTGTTTTAATAAACTTAACCAGATTGAAATATAAATATTTAATTTAATTGGGCTATTGGTAAGATAACCACATTACTCTCAGCATGTTGATTAAATATATGAACATTTAATTATATTGTAAATTGTAACTGTTTTGCTGTTGAGTTAGTTTTTCTCAAAGTAAAAAAATAATGCTTACAATCATAAAATTTAACCTGCAATAGTGCCTTAAGGCCAAGCAGTAGGTGTTTAAGGTAAGATAGTTCCTGTGTAAAACTTGCTAAGGCCCTGTACACATGAGTGCGGCAGCTGCACCGGCGGCCGCCTAGGACCGTACACATGGCAGCGGTTGGAGCCGCGGTTACGCTACGGTTGCGTTGTGAATTGACTGTCGCTCGACAGCCAGTACTGTATTTACCCAATTATTTTTCTTTTAAATGCTTAACGCTTGACAATTCTTTTCAGCAAAAAACTCAACTAACTCTTGCCAAGCAATCTTTTTTTACCTAAACGTATCTTCTTTTTGTACTTCTTTAATGAACAGTTCAGTGTCAAAGTTTTCTGGTTCCACAGCAGCATGCATGGCCATTGTAAACATACACTATGAGCACTACATCAACTCCAGCCACAGCTACACACTTCACCAACACAGAGAGCGATGTCCACAGGGCAAGCGCGCAGATGTCTGTGATCCTATAGTAGCAACTGCAGTCAACTGCGGCGGCTACTGCCTTCATGTGTACGCTCTCATGCCAACTCTAGTAACTTCAACCGCGCGGGAGCCGCGGCTCCCGCGAAAGGGAAATCTACGACCGCCGCGGTTTATTGCGGTTGATTGGAAGTGGGCGGTTGCATGTGAACGGTCCCATTTGCTCCTTTGTACTTTCAACCGCCGCGATTCCCGCGCAATGGCGACCGCGGCGGCTGCCGCCCTCATGTGTACAGGGCCTAAGGATTGGGTTTTGAAATGAAATGAAATGGAAATCCTATATTTCAACAGGCAAAGTTAGGGCCACATGGCCATTTCTTACACTTAACCTGTATACATAATTATAAATATAAAATAGAATATACAATTTAACACATTATTTTATTTAAACACAAAAACAAACTTTTTTGATAAAACGAAAACTAAATGTCTAACAGGGTGTATACCAACCGGGAAAACCGGGAGAACCGGGAAATAACCTTGAATTTGAAGAGACCTGGAAAAAACCGGGATTTTTGGACCGATTCCGGGATTTTTATTTTAGCCCCGGTAGAAGATTGTAGTCGTAAAATAAGTCTTGCCGCGATTGCGGGCGACGACGATGACGTTTTCGTGACCGCTGGAGTCAAGATGATGTCTGCAAGGCCGTGGAAGATTTTCATGATTTGCCGTGACCGCGGGAGACGACGATGCCGTTTCCGTGACCGCGGGAGACGACGATGACGTTTCCGTGACAGCGGGAGATGACGATGACGTTTCCGTGACCACGGGAGACGACGATGACGTTTCCGTGACCGCGGGAGACGACGATGACGTTTCCGTGACCGCGGGAGACGACGATGACGTTTACGTGACCGCGGGAGACGACGATGATGTGTACACTGCTGCGGGAAATATTCATGATTTTGTCGAGATCGCGGACGACGACGATGACGTTTCCGTGACCGCGGGAGACGAAGAAGACGTTTCCGTGACCGCGGGAGATGACGATGACGTTTCCGTGACCGTGGGAGACGACGATGACGTTTCCTTGACCGCGGGAGACGACGATGACGTTTCCGTGACCGCGGGAGATGCCGATGACGTTTCCGTGACCGCGGGAGACGACGATGACGTTTCCGTGACCGCGGGAGACGACGATGACGTTTCCGTGACCGCGGGAGACGACGATGACGTTTCCGTGACCGCGGGAGACGATGATTATGTCTACACGGCCGCAGATGTTTAGGATTTTGCCGAGATCGCGGACGACGGCGATGACGTTTCCATATCTGCGAGAGGCAATGATGATGTCTACACGGCCGCAGGAGATTTTCGTGATTTGCCGTGACCGCGAAAGACGACGATGATGATTTCTACGACGATGATGGCCGCGTGATATGCTCATGATTTGCCGTGATTGCGGCCGACGACGATGACGTTTCCGTGACCGCGAGATCAACGATGATGTTTACACTGCCACGGGAAACATTCATTATTTTGCCGAGATCGTGGACGACGACGATGACATTTCCGTGACCGCGCGAGACGACGATGATGTAGACACTGCCGCGTGGAAATATTCATGATTTTGCCGAGATCGCGGACGACAACGATGACGTTCCCGTGACCGCGGGAGTCAATGATGGTGTCTACACGGCCTCGGAACATTTATCGTTATTTTGCCGTGATCGTGGTCGATGACGATGACGTTTACGTGACCGCGGGAGTCAATGATGATGTCCACACGGCCGCGGAAGATTTTCGTGATTTTGCCGCGATCCTGGATGACGATGATTACGTTTCCGTGATCGCGAGAGACAGCGATAATGTATACATACCGCGGGAGATGTCCGGGATTTTTCTATGATAACGTAAGTGTGATGACGTTTACGTCACTGTGGGAAGCGACCACACGACCGCAGGAAATATTCAGGATTTTGCCGCCGTTGATAATGTGTTCATAAAAATGAAGATAATATTCAGGATTTTGCTGCTATCGAGAGAGAAGATGTTTCCGTGGCCTTAAGTAATGAAGATAATGAAAATGATTACTGTAATAAGGATTATTACTTTTTCAACACTAGCTCACTGGATTTTGAAACAAATTTGATGTAAGTTTATATTGTATACTTAAGCTGCAAGTCTTAAGTGGAACCAAACAAATACGCGGGAACCTGGAAAAACTTCGAAAAACCAGGAAAAAACCTGGAATTTCACTTTAATAAAATAGTATACACCCTGTCTAACAACAAAAAAAAGTCTCACACACTCGGTCAGCAATTTATTTGTTTTGTGTGAGTTGAGGACTGTTAACACCTTCAGGGGTGAGTTGCGTACAATAAATTTCACCACAATACCAGAAACATACAGGGTAAGTAAAGCATAGCCCTTACAAACAACCACCACATTGTTTTTAGTACACACTATTTTTAACAAGAACAGTTTTCAACCGTTTTTTTAAATGAAACCTTTTTTTAAATTTCTAATGTTTATTGTGGAAGTGCATTGTGAAAGTCCAAACATTTATTGTACAGCTTTGTTGAGAGCCTACTGAATAAAATCATACAATGCCTTTTTGATAAAGTGCCCAGTAAGAGTGCTCAGTAAGTTTACGTTGATTCAGACTCCAGATGATTTTATCGACCCCTTTCTCTAAGCTAAAACTTTCTGGTCTGCAAAGAGACCAGAAATCAGCTATTCACTTTGCAGTGTAATGAGAGATTCATAGCCTAGACCTCAAGCTCATGAACTAAACTTTGTAGTATATTGCAGAACATTTTAGTTTACCTGGATTAACCCATTAAAAGGCATGTGTCCAGCCAACCTGAAAACCGAAAATCGTGTGTGAATTTGCATCACGTGGAAAAATCCGTAAATTGTACGTGAATTTTGTTAAGAACCAGGTAATTTTAATGTTTGAATAATAGCCAAATAATCTGCCCAAAATCACAGGTTTTTCTTGATTTTCCTTGTTGACAATCGCAATCATGGGAAACTATTACGAATAATGGACATTGGCGCAAGTAATGATGATGAACGTTGATGCGATCGCAAGTAATGATCACGGACATTGACACGATTGCAAATAATGATCACGGACGTTGACATGATCTCTAGTAATGATCACAACCATTGCCACAATCACGGAAATCATCATGTGTGTTGCCATGATCGACTAGACATTGTCATGGATTTTGCTGCGATTATGTGAGGCGCTTACGTTTTATTACAATTCTGGCATTGCCGTGATCGCAAATAATGAAAGAATTCATCACAAATTTTGTCGCAATTACAAGGATATCTCAGATTTTACGACAATCACGTGAAATAAGCCCGGATCATGAGAAATAATCAAAGGGATTGACATGATCACGGGGAAGATAACGGATGTTGCCGCTATTGCAAGAAATGATCAAGTAATTGTTGCGATTGTGGGAAATCATCACAAATTTTGCAGATTTCAATATATGATCACGAATGTTTGACATTGTGAGAAATCATCACAGATGTTGCCATGATCCTGAGAAATCATCACAGATGTTGCCATGATCATGGGAAATCATCACAGGTATTTCCATGATCATGGGAAATCATCACAGGTGTTACCATGAGCATGGGAAATTATCACAGGTGTTGCCATGAGCATGGGAAATCATCACAGATATTGCCATGATTGTGGGAAATCATCCCAATATTTGCCAAGATCCAAAAATATGATAACCGATGTGGCTGCGATCGTGAGAAGAGAAACTATCATGGATTTGCCAAATGGTTTTTAATGTACTTGCAGGTAAAGTTTTGCTTATTTAAGGGGCAAGTTTTGGCATGGAAATTTCAAATTTGAACCTGGAATCGTCCTTGAATTTTATATTGATGGGACGCTGGATACCCTGAAAATGTTAAGATAGGGTATTCATACTTTTGCCTAAACCTGTACTATATATCATTTGTGAGAAGCTCATTATTGATATTTTTTTTTATTTTATAAAAAACAGGTTTTAGTTTGTCTGTAGGGATTGGGATGTCTACTTAAGTATATTATGTCAATGCTAAGTACTAGTTAACTTGGTTTTCAAAATAATGTGTAAAACTATTCATGTAAATGAAAGAATTCAGTATTTTTTGGAGAAAGTTTGTTCGCTGTTGTTTAATAAATATTATCATAGTTTATATCCATGACAACTTTTCAACTTTTGTGTTAAATGTTAAAGGAATCAGCAATAAAGTATGAGTCATTTGTTTTTTAGCAGAAATGTACAGGAATGGTATAAAATAGCGTGTTTAATTTTACATTATGAATATAATAACATGTGTTACGTACAAAGTGAAGCCTGTCATATTACAAACTGGCAGATTGACCTTAAACAGTTTCTTTTAACAAAGAATTAGTTATAGAAAGATGTTGACAAAAGATTAGTTTAAATACGGTACTATTTTTATAACATCCAAAGGGCAAACTTTGCATTGCTTTAACATCTTCCCAGAGGCCATGTTGTAATGGCTGATCGATGATTTCAAGCTAGTACTTAAAATAAATTGATACATGGAATATGAATAAAGAAAATGCCCCTGGTTTTTTAACTTATATAAGACTTCTCTGTAGTGTATGAACAGTAAGTAAATCAAGTATTCATTAGTTTAAATTGTGGTCTAAACTCCATAACTCAAACCTAAAACACTGAAGAGCACAAGTTTGCTTTAAACCCATGAAACATAAAGAATTGATGGAGTTTTACTGTAGAGTGAACAGTGAACCCAATTAATATCTCAACCAATATGTATCAACATGTTTAGCCTCTGGATCACGTAATTTACTAATAAAAAGGTTAAATACCTGTAGTACTTGTCAGTGATCCTGGAATTTAGGTCAGCGACCCAGGTTTCGAACCTAAAGGTTCATTTTCAAGCAGATACCATAGTCAAAACACATAATCCTCTTCATAACTGTGAAGAGTCGTTATAACGACGTATTTCGTGTTCGTGTCTCGTTTGTTATAACGACTCTTCACAGTTATGAAGAGGATTATATGTTTTGACTATGGTATCTGCTTGAAAATGAACCTTTAGGTTCGAAAGCTGGGTCGCTGACCTAAATTCCAGGATCACTGACAAGTACTACAGGTATTTAACCTTTTTATTAATATGTATCACAACTTCACTACACCGTCATCGAAATTATCTGAAATGCTATTCCAAATCTCAGGGATTACAATAAAAAATGTCATGATAATTTTTAGGTTATTAATTTTTTTTAAGTCTGCTTAGATACACGAAAAAGTAATTTGTTTGTATATTTAGATGTATAGGTTTTCAAAATAATTTTAAACTAGGTAGCTGACCCATCCGAATCATTTGCACGGTCCTCCTCAAATCCCTCTTAATAGTACACACATCTATTACCTGTGTGTTTACATTTTTAGATTTGATTATTTTCTTTTCAAAACAAGGTAAAAG